TAACTCCCGTTCTTTCTCCATTTTCCATATGAAAGAAGAAAGCAAAGAGGTTCAATTTGTTGTTTTACTGATTTTAGGCATGTCAGAGATATTCAGAGAAGGAGTCAACGAGATATTCACTATGAGGAACTGTAAATGGTTAAATTAGGAATATTTAAATATGGATTATATCGTGGCTGTATTTAGAACTACCGTAACGCTTAACGAGAAACTTAGGGCCCGTTTACTAACAGAAGTATTTTCTTGTTTTCTACTTCTGTCTTTCGTTCTCCAATTTTCTGTTTTTATTTTTCAGTTTTTTTACCTCAGTTTTCTGTTTCCATTTTCTAGTTTTCCATTTTCAAATATGAAAACATTTTCATCAATTTTTCATCCAGTTCTGTGATCATCCAGAAGACTGACATGTTTACTTCACATGTTACTAAATGATGCTTATTAAGACCCACATTAATAAGCGACGCATAAAATAAGCAAATTTATAAGATCATGTTTACTTCAAAAGGTTTAAAACATCCTTTAACATTAAAATGTCCAAAATAACTTTTTACATATATAGACACACAAACATTCAACAACACAAATATATAATAAAATATGTGGGGTCAATCACCTCGTACGTGTACTCATTCTCCTAACCCTTACCCTGCCCCTATACCTCGTACCCCACCCTATACCCAATTCCACACCCTTGACCCCTACCCCTACCCTTACCACGGTCTTAAACTCTACCCATACTCCCCTAAAACCATTCATACCCACCCATACCTACTCGTAGGGGTCGGGGTAGTGAAGGAAGGTATGGGGTGGGGGTGGGTGGGGTGGGGTGGTAACGTCTAGGGGTATGGGGTTGGGTGGGGTAGTGGGTGGGTTAGGGGTAAGGGTGGGGTAGTGAGTAGGGTTGGGTTGGGGTAAGGTAGGGGTAGGGTAGGGAGTTGGGATAGGATGGCGGTAGGGTGGGACCGAGGTAGGGGAAGGGGTAGGGTGGGGGTAGGATGTCGGTATGAGGGTGGGGGTAGGATGGCGGTAGGGTGGGGCCGAGGTAGGGGGCATGTGGGAAGGGGTAAGGTAGTGGTAAGGGGTAATATACGAGGTGGGGTAGGGTAGGGTGGGTCGGGATGGGGTTGAGGTGGTAGGGGTGGCGGTAGGGTAGGGTGGATCGGGGTGGGACCGAGGTAGGGGCATGTGGTAAGGGGTGGGGTAGGGTCATTGTAGGGAAAAATGGTATGCGGGTTGGGGGGGTGGGTGGGTAGGGTAGGGTAGGGGTAATGGGTAAAGTACGAAGATGGAGGTACTAGAATGAAATCGACATCGGAGCAGGACCGGACCCACCACTAGGTGTAAGTATGCAAATTCATTGCAGCATCCTGTAGCATCTCTGTTTTCCAAATTTGGAAAACTAGTAAAAGACACTTATCCAAATCATTAAGGAAAATAGAGACATGTCTCATTTTTTCGTTTTGGAAAACAGTTTGGTAAATTCGTTTTTCTGTTTACCTTTCTCTAGTTTTACTGCAATTTTCTTTGGTAAACATGTTTCCTGTTTTCTGTTTTCTAGTTTTCCTGTTTTCTGGAAAACAGGAAAATATCTCTGCTAGTAAACATGCCCTTAATATTCCATTTGTTCTTATCATGTGATTAAATGCAGAAGTTCTTACGGAGTACTCCCTCCGTCCCGTTGGAATGTTCCCGCTTTCCTTTTTTGAATGTCCTGATGGAAAGTTCTCATTTTCCTAAATGGAAAGTTATTCTACATCAAAACAGGGTCAAACAATGCAAAACAATGTCAAACAGTGTCGAAATAGTGTCAAACAGTGTCGAAACAGTGTCAAAACAGTAAAATTTACCCTCTAGTAAATTTATTTCCTTAATATATGTGTAGGTTAAACCGGGAACATTCCAACGAGACGGAGGGAGTATTAATTACTACTCCATATTATTATTATCACTCTTGCAAGGAGACAGATCGCGAGTATTACACTTCAAATACGGAGTATTAAGTTTTTTCCCACTTCGAGTTTGGTTAAATAATACGTAGGGCATTTTTAAAAAACATTATACTGTGTAAAATATTTTACACAAACATATACAAGTATATATATGAGGAGAGGTGATATAATATTTTGCATGTTTTAGATAATGTATTGCAATAACTTTGCATGCAACTTGCATGCAAAGTGATTGTTACGCCTAGTGACGGAACCATGATTTGTGACTCGCAGGGGCTCAATAACAAAGAAATGTTATACTAGTCTAGAAAAAAAATCATATGCATCACGAATATAGTAATAAACAAAACTATAAAATTTAAATAAAACAACTATTTAAAGAGTACCTTAGTTTTGATTAGAACATGACGCGTCAAATGAAGGAGAATCATTGAGAGGCGGCAATCTTTGTCTTCGATGTGCCATACTCTGAAATCGCCTCATTATGACTTCATTCTCAATTTTAACAAATACATCTTTCTCAATGTAACACATCAAACAATCCGTCAAGTATTCTTCTCCAATCTTGTTGCGCAAATCATTCTTGATAACTTGATCTGGTCCGGTCCGGTTTTGAACCGGTACACACCCCTAATAATAATAATAATAATAATAATAATAATATATGGTCTGATCTGGTCTGGTCTAGTTTGGTCTGTTTTGGTCTGGTCTGTTTTGGTCTGGTCTAGTCTGATCTGTTTTGGCCTGGTCTGGTCTGGTCTGTTTTGGTCTGATCTGGTCTGGTTTGGGACGAATTACAGTCCAAGTAAAAACAACCTGCCGATAATATACTCCGTATTCAATTTAATGTTATTTGCTCCTAAGGCCATCTCCAATAGTTAACACCATTTTTTACACTAAAATGGTGTAAACATCACATCAAACAGTATTTTATCTCCAACATTTTACACCATTTTCATCACCAAAAAGGAATATTCTCTTTTTTATTCTTTTTACTAACTTTTTATCATTCTTCTATTTAAGTATTTAACTATCTTATATTTATACATTAGCCCCTCATTTAATATTTTGACATTTCACACATTATTTCACACATACAAACTAAAATACTTCATTTGAATATGTATTTTCACGCACTTCACTAATTAAAACACAATAATCAATATTTCACAAATACAAGCTAAAACCACATAAAATTAAACGTTTCAATAATATTATAATAAATTGTACGTCATTATTAAAGTACTACTTAAACTTAAAGCAGTAGATTAATTTGATTCAGATCACATCAGACCGGATTAGACCAAACTTGGGTAGTTATAAAAATACAAAGAAATCAGACCAGGCCACATTAATTCAGACCAGATCAGACCAAATCAGACCGGACCAACAAATTTCAATCCAAGTAAAACTTCCTAATTTGTTGTTTTAAAAATGGGTCAAAACTATAATAACCAAAACTTTGGGTCACATTTGAAAGCAAAAAAAAAACACAAAAAGAGGATGGTGCAAGAAATGGTGTACGCCATATATAGCGCAAACCATTCCCCCTCCCCCATTTTGGTGTAATGATGTCAAGTTTGATGTTTTTGTTGGAGCATTTTTTTGCCAAATACACCATTTTGGTGTTGAAAATGATGCTTGTTGGAGATGACCTAAGAGCATCATTAATGGGACATTGTTAACATCCTATAAATGTTGACACATGACTATTAATAAGTGGAATTGTCTTCCACCTCATGTTGAGTCACGTAGGTAGACATTTAAAATTCCAAAATCAGGTGCAATGGTTATATGTCAACTGTCTATAGAATCCTAGCCACGTATTACTTTCAAATTCAATAAATCTCATACGGTTGATTTAATCAAAACCCACCTAGACGAAATCACGATCTCCCCTGCTTCCTGTCGGTTTACCATTGCAGAAGCCTTTGGAATTTCAAAGAAAACTAATATGTTCTGTAAACTTGTACAAGATCGATGGGATCCTCGGAAAAAACAACAGATCGATTGTCAAGGGTTCAAAGCACGAACACCGGTAAATAAAAACCGAGCCAGACAATTAAATAATAAAAAAAAAGCACTTTGCATCTTTAAGATATGGCCATATCCTGTATTGATGTTCCAATTCAAAGAGATATTTATCGGGAGAATTTCCTGATATTTATCCACAAATTTGGTTGAGTTTCTGCTCCACGTTTGCTGAGTCAGCGTGTGAAGGGCGCTGTTAGGTGAAGACATGGAGGTAAACAGTGTCGAAAATAAAATTGTACATGTCATCATTACAGGAGGATAAGAATAGTGCATTGGAGAGGAAAATTTTCCCATGCTGTTAAATAGGGATTACGTAGCTCGTTTTTTTAATGTGAACACCTTCTGATTGAAGATGCTCTAAGAAGACGTTGGTGTCTTATTTGCACTTTTATCCCTATCATAGTGGTTAATTTGCCTATTCTCCCTTATATAGTCCATAGAATATTAGAATATACTACGGTATTAAATTTAAACTACCTCTATCCCTTTTTTTATCATCTTTGACTTTTTCCAGTAAAAAATGATAAACTTTAATCAAAATTTCTAACTAATATATTCATGGGAAAGTTAATAAGTTTATATTTTAATGGTAATATTATAATAAAAAATATTTTCATATCATTTTCATATTATTAATACTATATACTATCCCTGTTCCGTTATGATTGTCCTATTTTACCTTATCGGTCCGTCCCACTAAGATTGTCTCATACCAAATTTGGTAAGTTTGTGTGGCTCTAAATCATTATTAATTTATTCTTACTTTATCAATTCAATATCAACCACATAAACAACTTTTTATTAATTTGCGTGTCACTCACTCTTGTCCCATTGTTAATGGGACGGAGGGAGTAATTGACATTCTTAAATTTGGTTAAATAATAATTGGACGGGAATATTATAGGGTATGTCAGTTGGACTTGATCAAATCATCCGGACTATTCAACAGCCGACAGAAGACAAGCCCAACAATAAGAGTTTAAATTGAGGGTCATGCTAGGGTGGCTTTAAAAATTTGGAAGGTATGGTGCATCTCATTGTGTGGGCAAATGAAATAGTGACACATGGAAATAGTGGGACATGAAATAGTGTCATTAATGAATTGACTTGGAATGCTATTTGGTGAGAAAGGCAAATGTATGGTACACTCCAAATTTGAAGAGGTACTATAGAAATCTCCTTGAATTGATTTGGGTACGTTTAAATACGAGTACCTCCAAAACCCTGCAGAACGAAGTTTGAGATTACTCTGTGCGCAGGCTGAAGAGTAGGGTTTATCTATCCCGCGGCAGAGAAGAACTACCAGAATGGTGGCAGCGCCAATTGAATCCGTTCAATGCTTCGGTCGTAAAAAGACGGCGGTTGCCGTTACTCACTGCAAACGCGGCCGTGGACTAATCAAGATCAACGGCTATCCAATCGAGTTGATCCAGCCGGAGATACTCCGTTACAAGGCTCTCGAGCCCATTCTCCTCCTAGGACGGAACCGTTTCGCCGGGGTTGACATGCGCATCCGCATCACAGGCGGAGGTCAAACTTCCCAGATCTACGCCATTCGGCAATCAATTTCAAAAGCGCTCGTCTCATTCTACCAGAAGTACGTGGATGAGCAATCGAAGAAGGAGATCAAGGATATCCTTGTTCGCTATGACAGAACATTGCTTGTGGCTGATCCAAGGCGATCTGAGCCGAAGAAGGCTGGAGGTCCCGGTGCTCGTGCAAGGTTCCAGAAATCATACCGTTGATCGCTCATGAGTTCTTCTTCCGACGACAGTATTGACATTTTTTAAGATTGAATTTGATAGGATTACTCTGCTTCTTAAATAGTTACACTTTCCCTGTAAAACTACTTAGAGAGGATATGTTTTGATCGACATTGACACTTCTATGTGAGTTAATTAAGTTTTTTTAGTAATGCGGGTTAATTAGATAGGTTAAGAAGACTCGTTTTTAATAAAAAGTTAAAGTTTGCTTTTTTAATGAATCGTATGTTAACAGGATGGTTAGAGTTTCAGATTTCCCCTTTCTCTTTCCTTTTGCTTGGTTTACAGTTTCATTTTTTTCATAGAAAAAATTATTCTCTCCCGAAAACGTTTGTCAAATAGACTTTTCTTGATTAACGACAATCAACTTTGACTTATGATATATTATAATATAAAATTATTTTGAATATGAAAACTATAGCAAAATGTTCCCTATTCAAATATTTTTTGATAAAAATATAAAATTTATAAATTATATATGTATACTCCCTCTGTTCCTAAAAATTCTTCCCGGTTTGACTTGGCACGCTTATTAAGAAAGTGGAAATGTATGGTTTTGGTTGTGTAAGAAAAAGGTAAAATGAATGTGAGCCACACAAATTGTCCAACATGGGAAAGTGGGAAGTATTTTTGGGAACAGCCCAAAAAAGAAAATGGGAAGTATTTTTGGGAACGGAGGGAGTATAATAATTAAAATCATTGTTTAAAGTTTGTCATCATTGACTAAGAAAAGTCAATATGACAAACCTTTTTCTGCGTACACCCTTTCACTCGTTTTGATATGCAATTGACATCCAAATGATTAGCACGACATATTTACGGAATGACGGGGGCAATAAGCACCCTATTCTCTCTGACTGATTGTTTGCAATTTAGTCAGGATGCAACTGGCGCGGACAGTTTCCCGTGTCGGTGGTGCAAAATCGCAAGTATATGTCACAATGATATACTAAATACTAAATCTAACAAGATGTGATAAGGAAACTCATTCAAGAAGAAGACACCTAAAACCATTAAGGAGATGAAGGAAATTCGCACAGAAAGCTATGCGGACGAAATGCCACAAGACATGTTAGGGTATGCATTGCACGAAAGAGGGACAAAGATGAAGATGCCAAGGAAGAATTTTTTTTCTTCTCTTGTCACAGTTGCAAAGATTCCTACAGAACCGGTGGTCTCTTTCTCGACGCAGATTCTCTCCTCTGCCCTGTCTTCGCCGAACGTCACCCATCAACGACTATCGCTCGGACCATCTTATATCCCTCCGCCTTTGACGTCGTATCGTCTATTCAACATGCCAGAACCTTTTTCATGGACTCCTCAAACTGCAGCAACAACATCTTCTTCCAGCGCAGCTTCTCTTCCTCCTCCGCCTGCCAGGGCTTCAGTTTTGGATCAACGGCTCTCACCGCCGCCTCTTTTCTCTGATCCACTTACTCCGGCCAACCAGACGTTTCTCCTTTGCCGCAACAGTCCAGCACACAGCTCCCAGGTTTTTCTCCAAATCCTACTTTTTTGGCTTCTCTCGCAGCCCAATTGGGTTTCCCCACACCCAATGTCACTAATATTGTGACTACCCGGTTAAATGCGGTTGAGGATTATCTCTAGTGGCGAACCCAATTTGAGTCTTTTCTAGTCTCCCGTAGTCTTCTTGGGATTTTAGATGGCTCAATTTTGGCACTGCCGCACGTCACGCATGATTTTTCTGGGCGAGAGATTCCGAATTCTGAGTATCATCACTGGGTTAAGATTGATCAGACTGTCCGATCCTGGTTGTTTGCTACTTTGTCCCGAGATTTTTTAATGGAGGTACATGACCTAAAAATTTTTACTCGCATATGGGAATCACGTTTATAAAGAGTGCTTGTCGTGCCCGGTCTATAGAACTTAAGCGACAAATTTTCCATATTAAAAAGAAGGAATCCCAAACCATTGATCAATATCTCTAAGAAATGAAATTGTTTGTTGATGCCTTGAATGCTATAAATTCTCCTGTTAGCAACCGTGATTTACTTGAGTATACTATTATTGGACTGGGACCGGAATATGAAACCTTCTCTTACAATTATTAACTATATTCCGGGGGACCTCACTCTTGAAAAGTTGTGTCCCATATTGGTTGCTCAAGAACAAAAAAACATTTATCTTCGCTCTTAAGAGCCTTCAGTGTCACAGCAGGCCTTTGTCGCAGTCCCCAACCAAGGGGGTGCAGCTCGCGGTCAGACTGGACGTCATCCCGGAGGTCGTGGATTCCGAGGTGGTCAGCAAGATCGTGGGCAGCGAAGGCCACGATCGCGGTTATGGGGGTCAACCACATCAGTTTTTTGGCGGCCAACAGGTGTATGGTGGGCAGCAACCGTTTCTCCTTCCCTTACCACCTCATGGGCAGCACCTTCCCGGGCAACAATAAAATGTTAAAAAACTAAAATAGTGTAAAAATAATCCAAATCAAACCAACTTAATATCCCGAAGAAGTTCATGTCTTGCAAAAAAGTGAAATTAAAGTTTGACCATTATGATGTATTGACTAATACTCATAGTCATCTTACTTCTTGTTCACGTCACACTCATATTTTCGCATTTGACTTTGATAAGAAAGGAACTTTTTCCTCATTCATTTCATTATTAGAAGGATCTTGTATTGTTTTCATGTCACCTTCGTCACGTAAATAATGAAGTGTTGATGCTCTAGTGTTGTGAGTTGCTACATTAATGTCAGTTGCTTCTTCGAGAACATCCCAATTTTCAGTTTCATTATGTTCTGTGGCATCATTGATCCATTATTTGCAATCCTCAATGTCATCTAGACATATTTTCATTTTCTTAAAAAGTGGATCTTGAAGATGCTGGTTCTGCAGAATGTATACTAGATCATTCATTTTTTTGTGCAACTTTGTTCTTTTCTTGCTTTGAACCTAATATTTAGAGATAATAAATTAGTTGATCAGGTATTTCAAATAGAAGTAAAAAAGACTTGGTTGAGAATTTACATTTTCAAACACACTCCAATTCTTTCCCACATCCGGATGCACTACATGTTAAACTGAGGATGCACACTAGTTAGTTGCAAATCTTTTCACGGTTGGTTTCACCAACTCCCTCCCGTTAATGAATTCTTTCATCATGTAAAAACAATAGTGTGATTATAAACGTAGGTAATAATACATTGGACTGTCTTGACCATATTTTCTACTAATGGAATAATCTTCTTAGCAATATATTCAAGAGTATGGTCAAGAGAGTATGTAGCATAATTGTTTGTGAAGTTATATGGGCACCTATTTCAATCTTCAGCTTTGCTAACCCATAATTTTTAGCATTATCTATCACAACATGTATCACACTTTTCGGGCCGGTTCCTTGAATCCATCCATCAAACAACTTCAAAAAGCTTCATCACTCTTCTTTTAAGATGGCAACATCAATGGATTACACGAAAATAGTCCCCTTGATAGAGTTGACATGGAAGTTTACAAAATTTCTGTGTGTTTTGTCTTGCCAACCGTCGGACATTATTGTGCACCCATCTATCTCCTAGATTTTTTTAATGTTCCCTTACCACTACATCTATTTTCTCCACCTCTTTATGCAAATGTTTTCCTTCACCTCTTGATATGTAAGCGCTTTAAACGTGACCCCAAATATATGTATCTCTTTTAGTGTTTCTTTAAACAATGAGTTACGAACCATATTAAATGAGATGCAATTTCTACACATCCATAAACATAAGCTCTGAGTATATTCTTCCCGCTCTTTCATTTTCATCTTTGATGGGATAGTAGATTGTATCAACCCCCCTTCTTCCGCTTATTTGTTGGATAAACAAAATTATCCAAAGTCCACTAACATCGATCCCACCGGAACTGAAGGAGCTAGACCCACTTATCTCAATGTCATCATCTTCATCGTCATGCTCAACATTAGACCCAGACTGCCCTCCAGTGTATGTACTTCATAATGTGTTTCCAAGTACATTTGTATTGGAGTGTGAACTAGCTTGTTTCAAAACAACACTGGACGGAGTGCCTTCTTATCTACATGGTTTAAGTCTCATTTTCCAATGTTACGATGACTCCGTGCCTTTTGACATCTCGACAAATTAATTTACTGGAATTAAAGTGCACTATTTCAATTTTAAGTCTCATACTTCAATACTCAAAGTAAAAAATTGAGATTGTATTTACTTTTCCCAATTAATTTGATTGAAGTGCACTATTTTAATTTTGTCATATAGCTTTTCATTCTATTTTAATTTGTGTTAATCATTTAGTCATTTAAATTATAATTTGATTTGATTCAACTAACTTATATGTTGTCATACCTCTAAATCTAAGTTTAATTGGCAGTGGGTATTAGTTTGCCCTCTTGTATTTATTAGTTATTGAGATAAATATCAAAGATATATTAATTGAGTTTGAATATGTTTCTAAGTAAAACAAATTGAAATGTATTGTAATTGAGTATACTTGTTTTGTGAGGAATGATTCTGTCCAGCCGGAGGGGCAAGACCCTCTGTTCGGCCACCGCTGTTTGCATTGGGGCGGTTTCTGTTGGAACTTTTTGATGAATATTTTTGACAATGTCTTCGTAAAATGTATATTAGGCACAAATATTTCAATTTAAAATTTAGTCAGGAGGCCAGCTAAATAGATTATGAAAACATATTGCGCCAAACTATATGTATACAACACGGTGTTTTTCAATAGTTTATTTAAATGTCTTCCTGATTGAATTTTAAGTTGTCTTTTAGTAGCAATAATCTACACTTTATGAAGAACATGCTCAAAAAATTTCATCAAAAACTTCCACCGGAACCATCCCAAACGGTGGAGGCCGGACAGAGGAACCTATCCGGACGGCTGGACATGATCTTTTCCGCTTGTAGTTTTATACTTCAATAGATTAAATCATATGAGACAATTCAGTCGTTTCAACCACAACATCAGTAATTTCAACACATTTAAGAGATTTAGTACAATTACTAAACGGACTTCTACAAATGTTAGAGCTTTTAACACTCCAATAAATAATGTAGTAATAATAATATTTCCGTCCCTTAAAATTTTGTCAACTTTCTTTTTGTTGTTTTAAAAAGTTTGTTACTTTCTTTCTAAAGTAGTTAGTTTGTGATTCTTATTATTACTCCCTCACTTACACAAATCTATGTCACATAATTTGTGTATTACTATTTTATGTCTTGATCAAACTGAATAGAA